AATTATAAAAACATTGGTATCAACTAATCAAACAGTGTTAAACTTACATTCTTTTCTTTCCTAACAACATGCTGAGTCCGTCAAGAATGTAGGCCGGTAGAACGTGTAGCGCCATTACACACACTTTGTTATACATCCAGTTTGTGTGAATTTGCCCATCTGGGTACCATATTAGATCACCCAGAGGATGTTTGCGCATAAAAACAAAAGAGTTATCTACAAACTCTTTCCATGTGATAGGATTTTGCATCCCAGTTGCACAATTATATACTGCAATACCATCAGGCCTTCAAAACAATAAAAATACAAATTAGAATCCGTTTACTGTATATTTAGGGAAAGGCTACTTCAAACTATACAGAAATTAGATTGATATGCATTACCTGTTAGTGGCTGTCCTCCACGCAGCAGCAATCATAAGATTGATGACCATGTCGACAGGAACAAGATCTGCTACTTTGCCTTCATGACACATCATTGTACGGAAGAAACCTTTTCCTGCAGCTGCAATTATTCCAGTTGGCCCGTTCCAATTATCTACCCATCCAGCCACTGGTTCTCGAAATGATGACAGTACTGAAGAAACAAGAAAAATTCATAAACACATTCCAGTTTTAAAATTTAACTTTAGAAGATCCTGAAGTACAGTAAAATAGTAAGAAAGTACTGTTTTATAAAAGTATGACATACCTATAGAAGGCCTAACAATAGCTACTGGAAGATTTCCACTTTCTTTAAGCAGCATTGTTTCAGCCAAGGCCTTTGTGAACGTGTAAGTATTTGGCCGCTTTCCTATCAGCCGTGGTGTGATTGCTTCAATGAGGTCGTCATCCATCCATTCCATACTCTGTATTATTTTCTCAGGATCATATGGTGGAGGGTAGATGACTTCTGCAACTTCTTCTCGGTCACAGTTGCAATATGCCGTAGAAACATGAATGAGAGCCTGAAAAATTTACACACACTGGAATTAGTATGTCTTCACACCCTTTGTGATAGACTGTAATCCTCATAGCATTAGAATTTAACTTAAAAGTATATAATTAGCTGCAAGTCTTACCTCTAATCCTAGCATTCTGTGACATAGTTCAACGAGTCTCTTGGTTCCCAGCATGTTAATTGTGACTGATAGTTTTAAGGCTTCATCAAACTTTACTGTTGCTGCTGAGTGAAACACAACTGACACTGTGCGGATGAGAAGGTTTTGATCTGATTGACTAATGCCAAGCTCTGGTTCTGTTACATCCCCAAGAATTGGAATAATTTTGTTCAATTCGTGTGGTCTTTCTTTCCTGAGTTTGTCAAAGAGCTGAAAAAAATGTCATCAATATTATTAGAAAACAATCAAAAATCAAAATAATAAAATGAAAATGTGAGCATGAAGTCTTACAGGGGCATTAAGGAGCTCTGTGAGTCGTGCACTGATATCTTGACCTCTCTTTGGCCGCATGAGGAGGTAGATGTTCTTGATTCCAGGGCATGATCTTAACAACTTTTCAACAAGCACCTTCCCCATGAAACCAGTACCACCAGTGACAAATACTGAGCGGTCATGATAAAAATTACTAACAGGGACATAGTCCACAGGGTTGACTGTTGCAGTAGCTGCCATTTTGTCTACCTTTTAAGACCACTCTTTTTACTCTCAAATGGATTTGAAAAAGACAAAAAGTAGAAAATATAACAAATATAAGTTCTACTTTGATCCTTAGAATGCCTCTTGCTATCACAAAGCAAAATTGATGAGTTTGATTGAAATTCTCACTAGAGATTCCATTATTCAAATAACAAGACTACAAACAATTTTATAAATTTGACTAGGTTTAACTATAATTCTTTAAAATAGTTCAAAACAAAGGTCTCACGTCTCTCAAATAAATTCTACAGTTTCATTACTTAAAACATAACTTATTTTGTGGCAGACCCCTGATTTTAAGTTTTACTTGTTTGTTGTATTTTTAAATGCCCAAATAAAATTCAAAGACAGTTTGGTGCTTTCAGCTTTGGAGACGGGGTTGATGGAAACATGATGGCTGTGTCTTGGCTGTTGGTATTCCTCTCAATGCTGGCACGTAAGATGGCTCGACCCCAGATCTTTCCAGTCTGCAACAGACAGAGGGCAATCATGCGTTAGAATTGACACATTTGAGTAATAAACACGAAAATTTAATCTGAGAAAAAGTTGTAGAAAAGGGCGCTGGTATGCGCAAGCAAGGCTGCCCAGCCTGGCCTTAGCTTCAGCCATGACCTTGAATTTGGGCCTAACCTTGACCCCAAAGCATGTCACCAGAACGAGGGTCGTGGTTTGCCGGACCCACACCCCGCGGCCAGCCGGTGCATAGCCATGGAGGCCGAGGTGCAGCCCGTGGGCGTCACAGGGGGCAATGCTGAAGGGAGGAAGGAGGGAGGGAGGAAGGAAGGTGGGTGGGAG